TGTGCAGTGGATTATGATGCTGGGAGTGATGTCTGTAACGCATCTGCCTGGTGCCTGGCAAGTAGCTGGCATCTTATAATTGGGAGTTATCATTATTAAGGGCCGCTGCTCGGATTGAAGGGACAAGAAAGGTAAATCAAAGCGTCTCTGTTCTCCCGGGGCTCCCAGGAGAGTGGGAGAGACAGAAACGCACACATGAGTAACTTTTAATCCGAGGCAGGCTGGGAGAAGTGCTCTAACCAGAAGCCCAAACAGTGTGGGAAGAATGGGGGAGGGGGCTCTGACAAGTCTAGCCCAGGAGCTTGGAGTTGGGTTGGGGGGGCAGGGAGGGAGGGGCGCGGGGAAGGGGGCGGGAATGGGGCTTTCTGCCGCCCCGACCCCTCCTCCAGCTGTGCGAGAGAAGCACAGAGCGCCCCCCCAGGGCCCCTCCGTGGTCCCCTTGCCCTCTTAACACTGTCCTCTTAAAATAAGGGCACGTGAACACAGAGATCATGTATCATGTATTTTCTGCTGTTCACCTGCCCCCAAACCCTGGCTGAGCCTCCCGGGAGTCTCCTGTCCCGTGGCCCCCTGGAAGTGGGGGGCACCAGGAGTCTGGGACCCCGGCCTCACTGCATGAGTCTCAAGGGGAGACGGGCACCAGACATGGGGGTCCTGGCCGCATGGCCACGCTGGCTCCCCGCCCCCGCCCTCCACCTCTCCCCCTCCCTCTTCAGGACCTCGGCCTTCCTTCTCCTCTGCCTTGGCCTGTGGCACTCAGGGTCTTTGCATCAGCGGGCGCTGCCTGCTGTCTTTCCCTCTGGATGCCCATCCCTGGACCTGCCTCTCCTGGGCTCCTTCTCACCAAGACCCGCCTTGCCTGGTGCTTCTCCTCCAGTCTCCTCCGTGTCCCTGGCTCTCCCCGGCCTCCGCGGGGGTGTCTGGCTCTGTGCCCCGCCCCCCGACAGCCTCCCCTCAGGGGCTGTGTGGCCCTGTGCCTGTGGCCGCGTGTCCTTCCCCGCCTGTCTTCATGATGGTTGCTAAGGCTTCCCCCTGCACCTGAGACTGCATCGGAGGACAGGGAGGCCACGGATCAAAGCCTGCAGGAATTCATTTCAGAGCCCACCCGCAGATTCGCGCTGGCCCCAGGCTGGAGCTGCCGGGCAGGGCGGGCGAGGCTGGACTGCGGTCGGGGTCCGTCTGAGGTCAGGCTCACCCGAGTCCCCTCCCGCCGCCATGAGCCGTGCCCCTGCATTTCTGTTCCACGCTGGCTTTATTTCCTGCGCGCGGGGCGTGGGCCCAGGCGGGACTGCAGTCTGCCCCCGCTCCGCCCCAGCTGCAGCGCGGCCTGGGCTCTGCTCAGCCACAGCTGGTGGAGGCCTGGGCCCCCAGGGCCTCGAAGGCATATGTGTGTGTGTCCTTGACAGGCCACCGGGACTGGCTCTTGGTGCCTTTGTGACACGCGGGGGCATCCCCAGCACCTCCTTCTTTGTCGTAACGCCACCAGGACGCATCTGCCCTTGCTGTGGCGCCTTGTCCAGTGTCTGTCCCTCACTGCTCACTTTCTAGGCTTCCCCTCAGCAATCCCATCATTGCATCAGAACCTTGGGTCCTGCCTCCTTACCCCTCCCAGCTCTACTCCACACTCCCTCCTCCAGGGAGCCTCTCGGGACTGACTCCGCCCTGCCCAGCGCTGTTCTTGTGTCTCTGCAGGGAGAACCTAGCCTGTCCCTCCACCACCCTGCCCTGTCTGTGCGTCCGCTGGAACCTGGGAGCCTGACCGGGGCAGGCGTGCTCTGCCCTCTGCCTCCTTTCCTTGACTGGGGGACGGTGGGGGTGGGGTCACACGTCAGGATCTCTCACTGCTTCAGAACGCCTGCCGTGGGCCCGGCAGCCAGGCCCCACACTGGGTGAGGGGCCAGAGCTCTGAGGGACACAGCCTGGACTCTAGTCTCCTGGGCTCGGGGCAGGGACGGGCAGTGCCGCGGGGGCCATACCAGAGTAAAAGGGGCCCTCAGGGCTCATGGGAAGGGAAGTCCAGGAAGACTTCCCAGAGGAAGTAACTCTTCGAATCCCAAGGGCGTGGGGGCAACAGTGTCTCCCCACTGCCCCCCCACCCCCGGAACTGGTTGTGCAAGGCCCTGGAAGGGGCACAGAAGCCTGGGCTGTGCAGAGGGGAGTGAGGCCTGTCTCAGGCACTGTCTTGACTGCAGGGGCTGTGGCGGGGGGCGGGGCGCGGGAAGACTTGCTTGTGATTTTTGCGGGGTCAGGATCTAGGGGCCTTCCCATCGAGTACGATTCCCGAGACCTCTTCATTTTCCCTCCTCTCTGGACTCTTCAGTCATTGCTTCCATCCCCCCCCCCCGCCCCCCGTCTCCCGACTAAACTCCCAAATCCCCACGTCATCTTGATGGCTCCTGCCTTCTCTGTCATGTTCTTGCTCGGGTTTCCAGGGGCGCCTCTAACTATCTAGCTGCTCGGGACAAATAAGGGCCGTAGCTGCCAGTTAGTGGGCACAGGCAAGGGTTTGTACCAGGCCTGTCACACCCCTCATCCCGTTAACCTCCGGGGAACCCGGGAGGTGGGCCTTATCACACCCCGGAGTACCAATGAGGAAGTGAGCCTCCGGAGGGACTTGGCCAAGGTCACGGTTAGGAAGTGGCGGAGGCGTTATGCAAACCTATGTCTGCCTCGTACACCTGTGCTCCTAAAAGGGCCCCTGTGGTCCTTGTGCGGACCTGTCATGTACGGTCAAGCCGGGCTGGGGAAGCCACAGTGCTCCTCCCTCCTGCCCGCTCCCCATCTCTGACTCTGACCACAAGGGCTCCCCCCATCCTCTCTCTGCCCGCTCGCTCCCCGTGGACAAAGAGCAGCTTCTTAGTGTTTGCTGGAGGCTTCGCCGGGAGAACAGGGTGTCCGGGTCCCATTTCCACGCTCGGGAAGGCCGTGAATACAAGTCCCATCCCTGGGCCGGAGTAACGGGCCGCCCCACTCCCAAGCCCTTGACTTGGGCTCCGGGGCTGTGGGAAGGACAAGCGTGCTGTGTGGGGAGCTTGCAGCAGGGAGCTGCCCTGGAGAATGCGCAAGGATATGAATAAATTTGAATAATAATGAGGGCAATGCCTGAATTAATAATGCTGGCTGCTCACCTGACCCACCCCTCCCCCAGGATCTCGGCACCTGCCGCTGGAGTCCTGCGAAATGTGGGTGAACCTCATCCTTGGCTTCTCTGGGAGCCACAGTCGGCGGTCAAGTCAGAAGAGTTGGGAGCAGCCCAACAGCTGCCCGGTCGCTAACTTCCTGGATTTGGACAGTTAACCGAGAGGGAAGAGGCTGCCTCAGGCATCAAATCATACGCTGGCCGTCATTCCCAGCCCTGCCCCCTCTCTCTCGGTCCCCTTTGTGTGCAGCAGATAACGTGGACGTCAGATGTCCGGGGAGACTCAGAGGGAGGAGATCGCACGGCCCTTGGCTTTAGAGGAGAAGCTCCTCTTCTGGTAGAACGGACAAGGCGAACACCTCCACCCACCCGCTGTGTTCTACCCCATGATAAAAACATGGGCATAAACTCTTAGAGTCTGGGACAGGGAATGCATGGATAGAGCTGTGACTGGGAGATGGGACAAGCTGTGTCTGTCCGAGGAGCTAAAGGATCAATCCAGGAGGGCTCCCTGGAAGAAGGGAATGTGGGGCTAGTTTGGGAAGAAGGGGAGACCTGGAGCGGGAGGAGGAGACAGAAGGGAGGGGACAAGACCTGGGGCCTGTCGCTGGTGGCTTGGAGGTCTCAGAAGGGGGGGTCAAGTTCCCTCTGCTTACACACTGGAGCGATGGAGCATCAGAGACATTGTGGAAAGGGTTGGATTTGGGGGTTGTGGTCTCTGCAGATACGTGGGAGCCGGAGAGGGAAAGAAGAGGGAGGACTCCCCCGAGCTGTGGGCAAAGCTGATTTCGGTCACAGCGGTGTGACAGATTGGGGACAAAGCTAGGAAGCCCCAGACCTCTCCCTTTGCCACCTCCCCCTTCCCACAGCCTGCCCCACCCGCGGGACCAGTGCTGGCTCGTCCGGGGTGGGGGCCGGGGGTTGGGGCAGCCACAGTCCAATTCCCTGCTCCATTTAGGCTCCACAATTAAAGGCAATTACTCTGCAGCTTCTCTCATCAAACGCTCCCGGCCGGGCTGCCAGCCGGGCTGCCATGTGTGGCTCCGCAGCCGGAGGGAGGGACGAGCAAAGTCACACGCACGCCTGGCTCCCACCGCGCGGGCGGCGGGGCGCGGGTTGGTGTGTCTGTGTGTGCGCACGCGTGCCCTGGAGCTCCGGGGCAAGGGGCAGACGCGCGGGACGTGGCGGGTGTGCCGAGAAGTGGGCTCCGAGGTTTGCTGGTGGCACTCGGAGCCCCGGGAAGCCGGGGTTCACCCTTATGAGGCGCCTGCCCGGGGAATCTGCCCTGTGTGCCCACTGGGCACATCGTGGGGGGCTGTCCCTGCATGGCGGCCCACGTGTGCTGCCTCGTGGCTACTCGCGTGACACGTGCGGGCAGGGGTGCAGTGGCGTATTCATGGCCCGGGATTGCGGTGGTGGTGCACGACCAGCAGCTCTGGTCATGGATGCAGCACCTGGGAACAGGGGTGGGGGTGAGGCGGCAGGTGGCGGAACAGGACCGGGTCCTGGAGGGCTGAGGCTCGGGCTCTGAATCCGCACTATGCCCCTCACTCACGCTCACCCCCCTGGGCCTTGGTGTCCTGTCCGTGGCACGAGAGGGTGGCATGAGCCCCATCTCAAGCCTTTATATAACACTGCGCCACTCTCTCTGATTGCTGAGCGCCTCCACTCCTGAAACCCGTTCCCCTGGGCCAGGGGGGAGGAAGAAATCCAGGGCGGGCACGTGGCATCTTGGTGGGAAGGGGCTGGGCTGAAGTGGGGCAGGGACGGGAGGGCGGGGTGGGGGCCTGGGAGGGTGGCCCCTTGGTGGGGCCCCTTCCCTCCCACACGCCCTTACCCAGTGCCGGCTTGGCTTTGCCAGGGACCCAGACCCGCTTCAGCCAGGAGCCGGCCGACCAGACTGTGGTGGCAGGACAGCGGGCCGTGCTCCCCTGCGTGCTGCTCAACTACTCGGGCATCGTGCAATGGACCAAGGATGGGCTGGCGCTGGGCATGGGCCAGGGCCTCAAAGGTGAGTGGGCTGCCCGCCGGCCTGGCATCCAGACTGTCCTGCCTTTATGCACCGCCTCCCGGCCTGTTGCCTTTACTTCGCTCCTGCTCCTCACTGCACTCCCTCTCTGTGCTCCAGCCTCCCCCTCTCCCATTTGAATGTGGGCAGCCTCGCCCTCTGCTCCTGAGCTCCAGACTCCCTCCTGCCCCAGCCCAGGCCATGTCTGTTCCGGGGCCAAAAACCCCTTGTAACATCAGCCTGGGCACTTGATGCACGTGTTCATCCAAGAAGCCTGTATCAGGTGCTGTGCAGCCCACGCTGAAGCTACCTAGCGATTCAGTGAAACAGGACGAACAAACGATCTCCTATATTCCAGAACAAGTAAAGGTACTTTTGGGAAGGCCTCCTGGCCGTGGCTGAGGGGGAAGGCCCCCGGGTTCTGGTGCTGTCTCTGCCACCTGTGAGTGGGGCGACGTAGGAAAGCCGCTGCACCTCTCTGGGTCTCCGTTTACCACCGTGTAGGAGAGCTATGGTCGTCACGGGCCTGTGCACGGCGTTCGTGAGTTTTGAGCCAAATGAGAGATGGTGTTTTGTGAAAAGCCACGGCTGGCCTGAAAGCAGTGTAATGCCGAAAGCCCGGGAGGGGCTGTATATTTTTATTCTTTCTGTTGTCCGGGGCTTAAAATTATTTGCTGCGGGTTCTGTGTATTAGTAGAGAGAGGGGAAATTTGTCTGTGTAGAGGAAAGAGATGGGCTAGTGGATCTACTGATGATAGAAAGAAAGAGAAACTGGGAGAGAGAGATCAATAGATATGGAGTGAGAAGGATCGATAACCCCTGGACAGAGGGAGATAATGGGGGGGAGCCGGTGGGGAGCCCGGGAGAGGGGGACCGCGGAGGGGGTGTGAGCCTGCAGGGGAGGGCAGGGGAGGCTGAGCCAGAGGGGCCAGAGGCTCAGAGGCCCACCTGCCACAGCCGTGGCTTCTCCAGGGACTGGAGGGTCAGGGGCTCCTTCAGGGGCAGGACCTGTGTCATCCGTCCCCCACATCATGAGTCCCGGCGAGGCCTTGGCCTTCCTTGGCTCCCCCCGGGCCCCAGGGAACCCCGTCTGTTCTGCGATGCCCTATATTTCCAGCACCCTCATGCCCTCCCCCTCTCCTTTTCTCTTGGCTTTTTTCCTCTTCCTTTCCTATTATGACGAGAGACGTTTGTCTGCAAACAGCTCCAGAGATTTCTGCTCCTCTCCCCCTTCCGTCTCCCTGTCGCTCCTGCTCCAGGGCCCCCAGCCTCACTGTAGGAGGTTGTGACATCGGGGGGGGGGGGGGGGGGGGCCTCGCCCGGGGGTGGGGGGGGCGGGCCAGGGCGGGGGGGGGGGGGAGGAGAGGTGGCCTGGGCGGGATGCAGGCCCCGCCGGGGGGCACGGGGATGAGACCTGGGGAGAGAGAACCCTGGCGGGCAGGGCGGTCTGGGCCGGTTCCCAGGCCGGTTCCCAGGCTGGGGCGGGGCTCACCTCGCTCGCCCTTTGTGTCCCTGCAGCCTGGCCGCGGTACCGGGTCGTGGGCTCTGCCGATGCCGGGCAGTACAACCTGGAGATCACGGACGCCGAGCTGTCTGATGACGCCTCCTACGAGTGCCAGGCCACGGAGGCCGCCCTGCGCTCGCGGCGGGCCAAGCTCACCGTGCTCAGTAATGCCCCAGCCCCTGCTCTAACTCTTTCCCTCCAGTTCCCTTGGCTCCTCACTTCTTCCTGGCCTCATGCCTGCCCCCAGTACCCCCCAAATCCTTCTCTAAACTTCTTCCGAAGCCAAGTCCAATAGAAGAGGGTGAAGCGGGCACGTGGACCCCCCCCTGGTGGGACCACGGAGGCATGAGGCCTGGCATCCTCTGTGCCCAGCTGGGTTGGGCTCTACCTGCAGGACATGAGGCTCCCCCAGGGCAGAGGAGTTGGGGTGCTGGAGATGCATCCACCCCTGGCCCAGGCTCGTCAGTGAGGGAGCTTCTCCCGTCCTCCCCCTCGGCTGCCCCAGCCCTAGCAGCTGCCCTGGGGGCTCCTTTCCCTCCTCACTCAGCCCCCACTGCCCTTCACCACTCCTTCCCTCCCTGGGCACTGAGGTTGCCCTGGAGGCCCTTCTGGGAGCCAAGGAGCAAGACCGGAAGGAACAAGACCCAAGGGCTGAGAACTGGGGGGGTGGGCTGGGTCCTGATGGCGCCGAGCGGATGTCCCTCTGTGAGAACACCGGGGCCGTTTGTGGGACGAGAAGACTGGCCCCTGCAGGAGCTCCCTCCAGCCTGGCGCCCTCCCTGGCCTTGGCCTCTGCTCTGCTTCCTTCTGCCCATGACCCCCCCCCTCCTTTTGCCCATGCTGTCCTGTTCCTTTCTCCTGCCTTCATCTGACCTGTCCCGCTCTCTCTTTTCCATCCCTTTGCCTGAAATCTGTGACCTGGGAAAGCCCCTGGAAGGGATGGGGGGAGAGGAGCGGAGACCGTGAGCTTGGACACAGGAAGGTTTTACCTGGGGGGGGGTGGGAGTGAGAAGGTGACAGGAAGTCATCCTTGTGTCAGGGAAAGGCTGGACTGGGAGCTGGGAGTCAGGAGCCCTGGGCCATTTTGGCACTGTGACCCTGAAGAGGTCACGACCCCTGGGTATCAGTTTGCTCGTCCATAAGTTGGTATCAGCCTCTCCTCAGCCACTTTGCCGCTCCTGCCCAGGGAGCTGTGAACCGCGGGAGCTTGGGCAGTGAGGTGTCAGGGCGTCAAGGCCCTGCAGGGCTAGGACTCTAGCCTGGCAGGGGGCTTGCTCTTCCTGTCTGGTGAGCAAGGCACAGGACTGAGGTTAGGGAGAGAGAGTCAGGTGGCCACCAGGGATGGGCATGGGGCGCCATGACTGCACCTCCTGTCCCTCTTGGGGCGTGTGTGAGCCCGCGCCAGCCCGGGCCGTCTAAGGGAGTCACGAGATTCTGGGGAGTCCGTCTGTCTTCTTTCCCCTCGCTAACTGCCTCGGTTGTGGGTCCTGGAGGTACTGCTTCCGACCTGGAGGACTCCCATCCTAACAAGGAGCCCCTGGTGCTCCCTCCCCTCTCCTGCCCCAGACCTCCAGAGACAGAGAAATAAAGATGAAAAAAAAAAAAGAAAAAGCCAGCTAAACCCCTAGGTATTGCAGGAATGGGGCTTCTAATGGCATCCAGTGGCTTGGTTCATTCAAGGAAGGCTTCCTGGAAGAGGAGAATATCAACGGGGACCCTAGATGGAGGAGTACCTTGTTTAAAAGCTTGCAAGCCACTGAGGGAGAGCCCATAGTGGGTGGCTCATTTGGAGGGCACAGTCCGTGTGCAGTGTGTGGGCCTTCCCAGCCTATCTGGGCGACTTGGGGGGCATGAGGGGCAGGGACAGGCCCCAAGAAGAAGAGGTGAGAGGTTCGTGCTTGCTCATCTCTCCCTCGGACCCCCTGCCACCTGCAGCCGCATGTAGGCTAAGAAGACAGGCTATGTCTCGCACGCTCCCTGCTTACCCAGTTACGTACTCCTTTGCTCACGGCGCTGGAGCCTGGAGATTGGGCAGGGCAGAGTCGAGAGTGGGCTGCGTCCGTGCCCGGTAGACCCCTCATCTGCAGCCATAGCCCTTGGTGGTCTCCCTGCCCCCACCCCAGGCCAGGCTTCCTCCCGCAGCAGCCTTTCCTTCTCCCTGCGGCCGACTGAATGGCGGCCTTCCACTCAACTGCAGATGCAGATGCAGATGCAGACGAGGCGTCCACTTGCAGGCCTACAGCCCCCCGCCAACGCCGGAGGGAGGGGCATGGCTCCAGGGCCAGTGGGCCTGGTCCCCCCTAGCCCTGCTGCTTAACTCACTCTCCCGCCTCTGAGCACATTTCTTAATCTCTCTGAGCCTCAGGGACCTTGTCTGCCAATTGGGGTCCATGGTATTTACCATGAAAGGGTTAATGAAGTACCCTTTGTGGTGAGCTTCAAATGCGCGTGGTACTTGGGCCCTTCGGTCAGCATTCCATGAACGGCAGAAACACTGGATCACATCACAGCTTAGCGGCTGCATGTCTGGGATCTCATTTTGACTTCACAGCATCACCTCTGGGGAAGAGCTGTCAATGTTATTTTTAAAATTTTACAAACAAGGAAACTGAGGCCACAGACACATGTGCATATTGAGATACAGATTTGTCACAAATCATAAAAATTTGTGCATAAACAAGCATCCATATGGACACGCACCCTCTGATAGCGGAGCAGACATTTCAATGGGCTTATTCTCCTTTGCCCCAGAAACAGAGAGAAAGATGGGTTAGCGACAGAGGCGACAGATGGACGGTCTTGCCCGAACGAGGGGAAAGGGCCAGCGTTCTAGGGAAGGAGAGCCGATGGGAGGAGGAGACTTCCCTCTGACCCAGGACACGGTGTCCCCCGCAGATGGGCAGGACTTCTGCCCATCCAGGATGTCCTTCCTGGGTGAGACAGCAGGTGTGACCTCGGAGGGGCCCACACAGACCAGGAGACCCTGAGCACCATCCGACAGGGGGACCAGGTAGAGCAGCAAGCAAAGCGGAGTTGCTGGGGACTCGGTGGCTAACCTGTTGGCCAGGAGCTGGGGGCGCTGCTGGCTCTCGTCCGAGCAGCTGAGCGAACACAGCCCGGGTGTCACATGGGCCTGCACGCTGTAGTCCATGCCCAGCACCCCCGCTGACCTTCGCGAGGGCCCCCTGGTGAGGCCCAACTACGTCCCTGTTGAAGAAACAGACTCTGACCTGCGGGCCTCACCCAAGATCACACAACAGGTAAACAGACGTGCTGGGGTTTAAGATCCGCGCAGCCTGCTTGGAAACTACCCGTCTGCGTGCACGAGTTGAGCGGAACACAGACGGGCTGCAGGTGGTTCCCTTCCAGTGGAAATGGCAGCTCAGGACCGGCATTTCCCACACTCCGGGGCAGCCCGGCGCGCCGCGAGGCTCCGTGGGCCTCCCACGTCTGCTCTCAGGGTTGTCTCACAGAGCCCCCTCTGGGTCTTCCCAGAGGCAAACAGAGCCCTTTCTCATTGCTGGCCTGATGACAACGGGGTGCACCAGAACGATGACAATCAATCCTGCCTCTGTCTCTTCAATCCCCCGTTCGTTCAGTCAGTCAGTGTCCCCGAGGACCTGCTGTCAACCCGGCTCGGCTAGACCTCGGGCTTTCAGAGAAAGAAGGAGCCTTACCTTCAAGGAACTGTAACCTGATCACCTGAGCTTTTAGGAGCCGTGAGGATAGGACAGGGAGAGACCTCCTATTTCTTGGCATCAGGAATCTGACCCATTCAGCCCCTCAAGAGGGCAGCAGGTGCCTACGGTGACCACCTCTGGGCCCTGGAGACAGTAGAAATCCAGGGAGCCAGGGACAGCGGCCTTGGCTGGGAAGGGGGCCCGGGCCGTCATCCCAAGGGACCCCAACACAGGGTCGGTTAGGAGCTCAGAGCACCTGCGTGGGAGCCCCTGCTGGGCTGGCTGGTGGGGGGGGGCCCTGGGCGGCAGGCTGAGAAGGCTTGCGGCACTTCGTAGCCCTCAGAGGTGTCTGAGCAGGGTGGTGGCACGGTCTTGGCTGCGCTGGAGAAAATGACCAACCTGCCCGCGGTGATGGATGTGTCGGCCAGGGGCACTGGAGGCAGGGAGTCCGTTTGGGAGGCGGCTGTAGCGGCCCGGCTCCCCGGGCTGGCCCAGGGCACAGGGCACACAAGACGAAATAGATGAGGACGCTCCTCCCGAGCCAGGCCCCCAGGGTGTGAGCAGCACCCCAGTCCTGGAGACCCCCGCTCTTCGCCGTTTGCGGCCACGCCCCTCACCCGCCAGCCGGGCTGGGAAAGAACCAGGTGGGGGTCGGGGGGCTGTGCTGGTGGCCTGGGGTGAAGCTCCCCCAGGAGCAACAGCTACAGTGATTGCAAGTTAAGGTGGCCACAGCCCTCCCCGGGGCAGCCGTGCTGCGGGAGGGACGCCGCCAGGGGCAGGGGCTGTGGTCGCCAGGGCGGAGCTGGCCACACCCTGACTGAGGCTCTGCTCGCCCTGCAGTCCCCCCAGAGGACACCAGGATCGACGGCGGCCCTGTGATTCTGCTGCAAGCGGGCACCCCCCACAACCTCACGTGCCGAGCTTTCAACGCCAAGCCGGCCGCCACCATCATCTGGTTCCGGGATGGGACGCAGCAGGAGGGCGCTGTGGCCAGCACGGTGAGACCCTGCTGCCCCCCCCAGACCCCTCGGCCCCATCCCAGGTCACCTCTCATTCCCACATGGGCCTGACCCAGACTCGGGGGACAGAGATGTGACAGGAGAGCTTGTAGGTCGTCTGGTCCAAGCCTCTCATCCATCGTGTAGCTGGGAAGTCTGGGATCCAGGGAAGAGGAGGGAGCTCCCAGGTTCACAGTGCATTCGGCGGCTAGCAGGGACTAAGAGTAATGCTAATACCAGCTACATTAAGCACCTACTGTGTGCCAGGCACTGTGCATGCTAAGCTCCTAATGGACAGTCCCTCCTAATTGACAAGGGAGTTTGATAAGTCAGGCGTTCCTTCCAACTCAACAAAGAGGGACACTGACGGTCAGAAAGGTTGGTGCCTTGCACAAGGTCACACGGCTGGTGTGCAGCAGAGCTGGGGTTTGCACTTGGCTCGGGCTGTGCTCCGTTGAGCACCTCGGGCTTCGTCCTTCAGCCTCTGCTTGGCTCAGTGAAGATGCTGAGGAGGCAGGGCTCCTGTGTAGGTTGTATAGACGAGGAAGCTGTGACAGAGGAGTTGTCCGGTGATGTTCTGGGCGGAGCTGGATTAGCATCCCCATCCCCGGTGTGGGCGAACGGACAGGAGTACCCAGCCCTTCGCTAGGTGCCGGGGGAGACCTGCTCCCCTGTGTGCCTCGGAGAGCAGTGCCAGGCAGAACCCGATTAGCTCTGCCTTTGACAGGCTGTGTGACCTTGCACAGGTCCCTGCTCTCTGGCCTTAGTTTACCCATTTGACCCAGCACAGTTTGGCCTCAGTGGTGCTTAACCTTTTACCACCAAGACATCTGTAATTTTTCTCCTGTAGGACTACACATTTTGAAATGTTTTGGCAACCAAACGAGCTGATTTGTTAATGGCCATTTGTCGTCCACGTTGCTGCTCGCGTTTTCTAACGATAGCAGATCGTGGCCAAGCAGCGGGGGGAGCCGGCGGCCCTGCACGGCTCTGGCCCTGCTCCTGCCCAGCAGAGGGGTGCTGCTGTCAGAGGGCAGGGCCGCCCTCGGACAAGCAGCGTGGCTTCCCTCGCACAGCTAAAATATGGCAAACAGCTCACGGGGTCCTGCGACCACATTCAGGGGCCTCAGGTTGGCCGCCAATGAGACAGCCTGTGAGTCCTTCCTGCCCCCCAGGGGCTTACGGTCTGGCAGGAGAGCCCCCGCGCCCACGCGCTCACGCGCAGGGCCCACGGGGCGAGGCAGCGTGTGCCCAGAGCAGAGTGGGACAGACGGACCCGGAGGGTCACAATGGCCGTGCAGAAGAGGGGACTGGTGCTGCACTCACAGAATCCCAGGAAGGAGGCTCAGAACCACGGGGAACGGTAGCACACGCATTGTAGGCTCCGGTGGAAACTGTGGACACGGGTCTGTCTGTTGGATGCATGGCCCTCGTGTGTCGTGTTCATTAGCGGAAACTGTGGGGTCTGGGAGGAGGGTGGATGGGAACTTGCTGAATTTTCTGTTCAGTTTTTCTGTACACTTAAAACTTCTCTAAAAAATAAAGTCTATTAATTAGAAACCAAACCAAAGCAGACCTGGGGGAGGAGCCTGGGGCTGGGGGTGGGGGTGGGGAGGGCTGCCCTTCGGGTTAAATTTCACATGCCCCTCCGGCGCAAGCCTGTCTCTGGGCCCGGTCATCCTGATCGCAGCGCAGGGGGCTTCTAGCTTGACCCCGTCCCCACTTGTCCCACCCCAGGAACTGCTGAAGGATGGGAAGAGGGAGACCACCATCAGCCAGTTGCTCATTAACCCCACAGACCTGGACATTGGGCGTGTCTTCACCTGCCGCAGCGTGAACGAGGCCACCCCGACTGGCAAGGAGACTTCCATCGAGCTCGACGTGCACCGTGAGCAGGGGGCCCTGCAGCGGAGCTGGGCGGAGGGGTGGGCTGAGGAAGGGAGGGCGGGGCGCCCTCGGAGACGCCCCGAATGCAGATCCCCCGGGGCCCCAGGGCAGATGCTCTTGGATCCCCTGGTTGGAGTACCCAGGGGCCGCAGACCCCGAGGGCTGGGAGAGGCACCAGCTGCGAGTCAGGCAACTCCAGCGTCTAATTCAGCCTGTAACTTTGGCTGTGACTTAATCTCTCTGAGCCTCAGTTCCCAGTTCTGTATAGTGGAAGAAAATAAAATACAGGCCCACAATCTCTTCTCTGAAATTCCAAACTGAAACTGATTTGCTGGCAAAACGTGAACTAAGGTTCCCCACGGTCTCTTACTTAACCCATATGTCACTGTGAGCTGTTGCCCAGACCCTGCTGGGGGTCTTACATAGTAAATGGTCTGTGCACACCAGCACCTTTCTAAAATTTAAAAACTCCAAATTCTGAAATACATCTAATCCCATCGGGCTCAGAGGAGGGACTTGGGACCTGTTTCCGTCTGTTGGGGCTGTGGGAGCACCTAAACAAGAGAGAGCATCCGAGCAGCCAGCATGGAGCCTGCTACTCAGGGGATGCTCAGTACAGCCCCTCTGCCCAGAAAAGGGGGGGGGGGCTGGGCAGGGGCTGGAGATGCCCCACCCCCATCCCTTTCAGTGAGCCACGCGAGGCCACGCTGACGCCTCGTGGCCACAGTGCACCATTACATCCTCTAATTGTCTCTCCTGCGGCAGCCTGGATCCCAGCCCCCTAGCCGGCCCCCTGGAGGCTCCGTGGGGTAAAGGGAAGGCAGATGGCTTCTCTATTGGAGCTGCTTCACTACAGACTCCAGTTCCCAGATCTCTGCACAGGGAGAGGGCTGGGTGTGTGTGTTAGGAAGAGAAAGAAACCTGAGGGACAGAAAAGACCCTTCCTGTCCCCTGCTTTGCAGACCCTCCCACAGTGACCCTGTCCATTGAGCCACAGACGGTACAGGAGGGGGAGCGCGTTGTCTTCACTTGCCAGGCCACAGCCAACCCTGAGATCCTGGGCTACAGGTGCAAGGGGTGGGGGCTGGGGGCACCCTGTGCCTGGAGTGGGGGGTGCCGGGGTGCAAGGGGTGGGGGCTGGGGGCACCTTGGAGTGGGGGGTGTCGGGGTGGGGGTCATGCTACTGGATGTGGGTGAGAGGGGTCCAAGCCCTGATCGCCACCCTGTGTTGCCTTCGCCCCAGGTGGGCCAAGGGCGGCTTCTTGATTGAAGATGCCCACGAGAGTCGCTATGAGACAAATGTTGACTATTCCTTCTTCACGGAGCCTGTGTCATGTGAGGTTCACAACAAAGTGGGGAGCACCAATGTCAGCACCTTAGTAAACGTTCACTGTGAGTGGCTGCAAGGGCAGGGGTGGATGGGGAGGGCAGGGACCTTTGAAGGGTCTGGGGTAGGGGTGGGGGGACAGGGGACTGGTCGGAGGAGGTGGCAGGGCAGCAGAAGGAAGAGAGGATCGGCTAGAGCTGACCCCCGATGAGACTGAGTCCCTAGCAAGTGCTCTTTTCTACACAGTTGCCCCCCGGATCGTAGTTGACCCCAAACCCACGACCACAGATATTGGCTCTGATGTGACCCTCACCTGTGTCTGGGTGGGGAATCCCCCCCTCACCCTCACCTGGACCAAAAAGGATTCAAACATGGTAAGACGCCTGCTACCCATCTTGAGCACGGGGAGGAAGGAGTCGGTCACAGGTGGGAGAGCAGGGGTGGGGTGAGGCTGGTGCAGCCTTACTTTTCAAGTCGAAGCTAGAGTGTTTCCAGGGTCTTGGGATTTGGAGGAGGCGGTCAGTGCTCGGGATCAAAACCCACTTGTCCCCGCAGAACAGCTGGCCGGTTCAGTGGTCATGGGAGGGACAGGGGGACCTGTGTGTGGGGGAGGGGGGAGGGGTGGTTTCTGCAGATCCGGTGAATGATTCTACATTAGGAGGGTGGGAGGGTTGAATTCTGCAGCTCTGCAGACACCTGCATTAGATAGTTTGGGCTGGAATTGCAGGAAGAGGGATTTCAGGGTGAAACTTCCTGCCTTGTTTGGCAGGGAAAGCTCTAGAACAGACCGTCAGAGAGGCTGCGTTCTCTGGGAGACCACTGCAGCCCCAGCTGCCCTCTCTGGCCTCAGCCCTTCTCAGCCCACCTTTGCAGAGACGGCAGGCCTCAGTGCGGCCCTGTTTAGAGTCAGGGGATGCACCTTTGCCCTTCTGGGAATTCACTTGTGGCCCTTCCTGCTTTCTTCCCGATGCCTCCGATGCGGGGCCCCACTCGGACCCAGGGGCCCAGGCCTCCTGGCTCCCCACCCGAGGCTGCTCTCTCTGCCCAGGTCCTGAGTAACAGCAACCAGCTGCTGTTGAAGTCAGTGACCCAGGCCGATGCGGGCACGTACACCTGCCGGGCCATCGTGCCTCGGATCGGTGTGGCCGAGAGGGAGGTGCCGCTTTACGTGAACGGTGAGTGGCCTCCGGGGCTGGGCTAGGGCGGGCAGGTGCTGTGATGTCCCGCCGGCCCTGACCGCGTCTTCTTGCTCACAGGGCCCCCCATTATCTCCAGCGAGGCGGTGCAGTACGCTGTCAGGGGTGACGGGGGCAAGGTGGAGTGTTTCATCGGGAGCACGCCGCCCCCAGACCGCATTGTGAGTGCCGCGGCTGTCACAGGGTCTGAGGACAGCCAGCCACCTGGAGGCTGCGTCCCTCTGCCCTCGTCCCTGCTCACGTGCCACTTCCCCCTCTCTCATTTGTCTCGTGACCCTGAGCCAGTTACTGAGTGTTTCGATCCTCAGTTTTGTCATCCACAAAATGGGGGCAGTGCCCCTGCCTGATGGCCGCAGCAACAGGTGTGCGAGGCCGGGGCGCCCCGGCTGCTCCCTCTGCCTCATCTCCTTCCCTCTCCTCAGCCTCCCTCCACCCTGCCCCTGGGTTCCCCGGCCCTCTGCCCCCTTCTGTCTTCCTCCTCCTACCCGCTCCCCCTCCCCCCTCCGTTCTCCTCTTCCCCACACCATGCGCCATTAATTCCTCCCATGACCATTAACCGTCAAACCCCTCATCACATTTAATGACCATTTGGCTAACTCCAGGGCTGCCCAGGGACACTTCATTACCACGGCCGCCTGGGCAGCGGGCGGCTCGGCTCCCAGGGGCTTTCCTTGCAGAGCTGGGAGGAGTGATCCCTGGAAAGGAGCCAGTGCTCAGGGAGGGGACAGGAAGGGGGTGTCCCGACCAGGAAGTCAGGGGTGGAGGAGGCTGCGAGAGATCCTCCCTGTCCTAAGAGTCTGAGATGGGTCTCCAGAGCCCCCTGGGTAGGTTCGTGTGGGGCCAGCTGCGGCTTGGCTACAAGTCAGGCTGAAGACTCTCAGACCACCAGAGCTGGACAAACCCCAGGCATCCAACTCCAGCCTGGTCCTCTGCTTTTACAGATGAGGACACGGAGGCCCAGAGAGGGGAGGGGAGGCCACACAGGGGCTCAAGGGAGAGCCAGGCCCAAGGCCGCATGTTGACTCCCCATCCAGGACATCAGGGCTGCCAAATATTGGTTCACTGGCCCAGCAGCACCTGCATCCATGGGATCGTTAGAAAAACAGAGATTCCTGGACCTCTCCCCTGGAGTTGCATATTTAAGAGTTAAGCTCCAAGAATCTGCATTTTAAAGAATGTCCCTAAGCATATCTGCATGTTCCTGGCATACATCTCCATTGTGTTGGTAGCCACTGTTTCCCTCAGACTGGAGATCCTATGCCAAGGCTCGAGGCAGCAGGTGTGACTTGGGCTTGGCCAAGGCTTGAGGCAGCAGGTGTGACTTGGGCTTGTTGCAGAGTGAGCACTGGGCCGGGCTGAGGGACACACAGGGCACACGGGACAAGGGTGGGTGGGTCAGGTGTTTCTGCCACCTGCTCCTTCCTTACCCACCCCCCAGGCCTGGGCATGGAAGGAGAACTTCCTGGAGGTGGGGACCCTGGAGCGCTACACGGTGGAGAGGACCAACTCGGGCAGTGGGGTGCTGTCCACGCTCACCATCAACAATGTCATGGAGGCAGACTTTCAGACGCATTACAATTGCACAGCTTGGAACAGCTTTGGGCCCGGCACGGCCATCATCCAGCTGGAAGAGCGAGGTGACCATGGCCAGGGTGCGGGGCAGCTGGGCGTTCTGCTCCCTCTTCTCTCCCCTGGCAGTCCTTATGGGGAGACAGCTCTCTCGGGGGCCTACCCTCCAGAGCCTGCGCCGGTGCTCAGCTGGGGAAAACCACCCCCTTTTTTAAACGTTCATTGAGCCTCCCCTCTGCGCCCGGCCCTGCGCAAGGGGCAGCAGGGATGGCGGTGCACAAGACGCGGTCCCGGCCCTCGAGGGGGTTTTGGGTCAGTGGAGGAGCACACAGAGTGGGAGCAAAGGACTTCAGGTGGAGAAAATCAGAAGCTTCATGAAAGGGTGTACTACTACCCACCTCACGGGGTTGGCGTGGGGATGAAGTGAGAATATCTATAAAACACCAGGCTTGTGGTGCCCCACCTCTTCGAGAACCCTTCATCTGCTAAGAGGCACATGCTTCCTCCCTTAAGACGCTGCATGTCGAAGGAGGCACTGCCTTTGACTTTTTTGGAAGCTCTGACGAGGGAGAGAAAGGCCGGGGCTCCCACCAGGTGTGCCTTAGCTGAGAGAGCCAGCGAGGGGGTGGTGGGGAAGAGCAGAGCGGAGGGAGTACGGCAGGTCCCAGCGAGGAGGGGAAGAACCTCCCGAGGGTCTGATCCGTCCAGGACTGCCAGGAAGGGAGAAGAAGCTGGAGGAGGCTCCCTGGGTCCTACTCAGCTCTGGGGAGCAAGGGAGCCAAGGAGAACTGTGCGAGCCCTGCGGGTGCCGGTGCCTCCCTGGCCATGGGGGGGGGCAGGGAGGTGGTGAGAGGTGGGGACACGGGTGACAGGGCGGAGTTTGTGGAGACAGCTGACCTCAAAGGGCAGCCCAGCCCAGGAAGCCGAGGCCAAGCCTCGCAGGCAGGTGGGCTGCAGAGGGGAGGATGGGCCCCCAGGGACAGGGTCACGCTGTGTCACAGCTGCAGGGACGGGACATGGCCATGCTCCCAACCCTGATCAAGCCGAAGCTCAGGCCTAAACCCAGACACAATGCAGACCTTCCCCTCCAACTGCCCCTGACTTGAGCAAACACCGTTCGCGTCCGCGGATATCAGTGGAGCTCTGGCACCTGGCCTTCAGGTCCCTGTGAGCCACCAGCCTCACCCCAGCCTCTCCTTCCCTCTGAAGAGGTGCTGCCCGTGGGCATCATTGCCGGGGCCACCATCGGTTCGGGCGTCCTGCTCACATTCTTCTTCATCGCCTTGGTGTTCTTCCTCTACCGCCGCCGCAAAGGCAGTGAGTACGGGCCTCCCCCCGCGCGCGCGCACGTACAGCGCCCCCCCCCCTCAGGGCGCCCTCCCAGCAGACGGACCGCCGCGTGCCCGGGGCTGGCCTGTAGCGGCTGGCAGAGCGCGTCCAGGCTGCCCTTCCCTGTCCAGGTCGCAAGGACGTGACCCTGAGGAAGCTGGACATCAAGGTGGAGACTGTGAACCGCGAGCCACTTACGATGCATTCAGACCGGGAGGATGATACAGCCAGCGTGTCCACTGCGACTCGGGTCATGAAGGCCATCTACTCGGTGAGGGTCCTGTTCCTCCTGGCCCACTCCCCTCTTCACGTTCTTGGGACCCGCCCCAGCTCTACGAACCACCTTCTGTCTGTCTTCCCTGCCACACTCACGCCCAGGCTCACACGTGCTCACGTGTGTACACACAGGCGCACAAATGCTCCTGCATGTACTCATATGCACGCACGCACACATCCACCCCAGGCTGATTCCCCTACAGCAGAAGACAGGCAGGTGGGGCCCCCCCATAGGCCCGCGCTTGGCCCCATCCTTACCCCCCCCCCCCCGGCCACACACAGTCAGACTTGGAAGCCCCTAGAAGTTTTCTGGTCCAACTGCCCCATAGCTCAGACGAGGAGACAGTCCCAGAGAGGGGCAGTGACACACCCAAGGTCACATTGTGCGTCCACGACAAACCCGGTGCCAGGCTGGCTCTCCGGCCTCTCCCCACCCCTGGCGCCCCGGAGCCTCTCCTGGGCTGGGCTCAGACTCAGAACTCCAGTGGGCCGGGGGCCCCAGACCCCTCCGGCGGCCCTAGGGCGTGGGGCGGTGCCGGCGTAGGATGCGGCCGGCAGGCCCTGACGCCCACCCTGCGGCTCCGCAGTCCTTCAAGGACGACGTGGACCTGAAGCAGGACCTGCGCTGCGACGCCATGGACACGCGGGAGGAGTACGAGATGAAGGTGCGCGCGCGGGGCGGGCGAGGGCAGGCTGGGGGAGGGGGACGCGGGCTGCCAGCGGGACCCGGCAGGTGCACCACGGCCGCGCCTCCACTGCGCCCTTGCCCCTCGTCCGCAGGACCCCACCAACGGCTACTACAACGTGCGCGCCCACGAGGACCGGCCGGCATCGCGGGCCGTGCTCTACGCGGACTACCGCGCCCCCGGGCCCGCGCGCTTCGACGGGCGCCCGGCCTCGCGCCTCTCGCACTCGAGCGGCTACGCGCAGCTCAGCTCGTACAGCCGCGCCCCCGCGTCCGACTTCGGCCCCGAGCCCGCCGCCCCCGGGCCCGCAGCCCCCGCCGGCGCCGACTCGGCCGGCACGTTGTCCTATGAGAACTACGACAAGTTCAACCCGCACCCCTTCCCCGCGGCGGCGGGCTACCCCACCTACCGACTGGGCTACCCCCAGGCGCCGCCGTCCGGCCTGGAGCGGACCCCGTTCGAGGCGTACGACCCGATCGGCAAGTACGCCACGGCCACCCGCTTCTCCTACACCTCGCAGCACTCGGACTACGGGCAGCGGTTCCAGCAGCGCATGCAGACTCACGTGTAGGCCTGGAGCCCGGCCGGGGCGCCTCTGCGGGGCAGAGGACGAGGCTCTCACAGCCGTTCCCTGATATTCAGGGGCGTTGCGCGTCGCTCCCGGCCCGGACCAGCCTTCCTCCGCCGCCGCCGCCGCTGCGGCAGGTGGGGAGCAGGTCTCCCGGAAACACCCCGTCCCGAGGATGGTGCTCTGTGCATGCCCCAGCCTCCTGGGCCTGCCCTTCCCTCTTCTTCGGGAGGACGTGTCTCTTCTGACCTGTGCTCTCGCCTGGCCCCAGCACGGGAACAGGGAAGCGAAGGTTGTGGAGAGCAGAGGGGGCACTTTTTAGCATTCCCATTCTGCCCCACCCCTTTGGTCTCCCCTAAGTGGACAGGGATGTGTGACGATGAGCAGGCGTTGGCCTAGGGGGACACGCAGTGGCGGGTGGGGGTGGCCCAGGCACAGATATGTGGAAACACATTTGCCTGGCCAGCCCCTCTGTCCTCTGCATTCACACCCCGGCAGCATCCTTCCTTCCGCGACTGCAGAAGGGACCTTGGATTGATTTTAGCTGTCCACAGAACAGCCCTGGCACTGAGTTCAGATCCGGCCCTCGTTCAGCTGGGATTAAAGGGCCAGCTGTCCTGGCTGCTCATCATGGACACCTGTCTGTCAGCAGAGGATCCAGATCCGCCCTTTCTCTGTCCTCTGTGCAGGGCCAGCCAGTTAGATCACGGGGTCCCCATGCAGAAAGGAACGGTGGGGGAACCATGTCCTGACTCACCAGCAGGAAGGCTGTGTGCTTCAAAGCAGTTTCCAGAACCCCCTCTAGAGGAGCCCCTTCCCTCCTCAGCCTGCCCTGTATCCTGGCTTTAACTCTTGAGCCTGTCTGGGGAGTGGTGGTGTGAGGGCCGGATGCTATAGGCTATTTTTCAAAGACAACAAAAAACAATGAAAACCTCATTTGGGGAGAAAAAAAAAGCTGTAGGGAATCCCCAGCCCCAAGTCCCAGTGGGAAGGAAAGGGGGCACCTGCTCTCCTCCAGATTCCTAGCACCGTCCATTACTCTGAATTTCCAAGCACTTTGAATCCATTTTTAAACATTCAGGTGGTAAGACCTGTCCCCGATGGGCTCTGACAGGCTTAGGGAGGGGGCCTGGCTCTCAAGACTGCTTGTCCTGCCCACCAGCTGGTCGGGGAGGCTACCTTCCGGGGGCATGGGTGATAGGCTCTTCAGACAGGTTTTGGTTTGTTAAGTGTCTTTTTTTTTTCTTGGACCAATCAAATTCCTTCTTCCACTTTCAGTGCCTTGAGTGTCCAGCTTTGGTTGACCGGCCCTGTGTGGGGGAACACAGGGGATGGGTATTGCAAGCCCCAGACACGCCGTCAGGTGTTGCAGAGTTTCGGGGACGGCGGGTGAGGGGCCTGGAGAGGGAGGAAGGTGGCACGGAAGGGCACTGCAGGCAGTCACGCCCATGCTGTCCCCACACACACATTCCACATGGCCATTCTCAGCCGCCGCCTCTGACCAAAGAGAACTGTGCCCCCGCCCCAGCCTCCCCTTCTCCCGGCGGGTGGAGTCTCGGGGGCAATCCCCAGAACGCGCTTTGCCCTCTCTCCTGGTCACCACTCATTAGTCGTGTTTGCTTTAATGAGTTACATGGTCATCAGCCACGGACCATCACCACCCTTGCGGATGGGTCTGTGGGGTGACATTCCTCACCGTCCCTGCTCGTAAGGACCAGCTAATGCCCAGGGAGAAAGTAGCTCGGTTCCAGCCTGGCAGGCTGCCTCTGCGTCCCCTTCCGCAGCAACAGGGGCAAATCCTGGGTGTCCCTTGGGGGTGGGGGGGCATCGTCCAGGCTCCAGCTGCATTCCACCCCTACCCCTGGGAGCTGACCCCTCCCTACAGAGTCATTTTATGTGAGCCCCTGGAGAAGGTCTGGTAAGGGATGCGGGTTCCTGTGCAGATGAATTCACGCATACTCTGATTATCTTCGCAGAAACAGAAGCCATGCGTAATCCAAACAGTTAAAGTCTGAAGATGGTGATGGCTCTTTAAACAGGAATATTCCAAAAAATATTCATTTGTATTTGGGGTTTGGCTACATTCTGTTTCTTCCCTTTTATTAGTGCTGGGTCCATTCTGTTGAAATGATGAAGAGGAGGGGCCCAGGGTCAGTAGCTAACTCAGTTGACACTACAGGGACCATTAGTTTTCAGAAGCCTGTGACCAGAGCTCCTTCTCTGCTCTCTGCTCTTTAACCCAGTAACCGGCCCCTCCTGGGTATGGAGCGTGCACAGTGCAAGGCACAGAGAGACACCGGCGCCCCAGGCCCTCTCTGCCCTCTATTTGCACGCTGTTCATCTGATCACAATCGGAACTGGGGCCTGCCTGTTGGGCCAAATGGAATTGCTTTTCTGGGGAGTGGAAGGCACCCTTGAACTTGGTAGAGCTTTGCTGTTGGAGGCTGGGGCCCTCCAGCAGGGTGCCGAGAGTACTTGATGTGGTCACCTTGGTGATCCTGATCGCCTTTGATATTCTCATCTTAGTGAGAAGAGCAAGGCACTAGGGGTCAGGAGATCGGGGACCCCATCCTGAAGCTGCCGTTGACTGAGTGACCTTGGCCTAACCTCTTTACATTTACTGCCCCCGATTTTCTGGCCTTACAAATAGGGGGAGGGTGGCACAACCCTAGAATTATTCGGCTCTTGCTGTATTCATTCGGTGAGGTGGAGGGCCCAGCCACCCCTGGTGTGGAGCTGGGAACAGGACGTGAGCAGGGAAAGGATGGGGTGGTAGAAGGTTCTACTCTCTTGCAAAAAGCTTTCACTGTGGGCCTCTTGCTGGAAGTGCTGTGAATAAGTTTCCACTAGGTTCCCCTGGATGCCAAACGGCAACAAAGCATACCCTGAGCCTGGGTGAGATTGGCGTGCTCTTATCCTCTGACCATTGGGAATGGTCGCTCACATTGGGAGCCCGCTCAGAATTCTGCCGGTGTGGCAAAGGCGTCTGTGGCCAGGGCGGGGCAGGGAGACTCCTCCACTGGTGCCCTGGTTTCGGGCAGCTTTGACCGAGGGGGAGCTGGGAGTAGCCACCATCCACGCTGTCCTCAGGAGCGCAGGGACGGCGCAGCCCTCACTGAGGAGGTGAACCTGCCGGCCAGGGTCTCCCGAGCTAGATGGTGAGGTGTGAGCACGGCTGACCCCTCTGTGAAGCAGTAGAGGGAAGTTTTGACGTGAACTCGGCCTCGAGGAGGCTCTGGTGATTGTGGGTGAGCTGCAGTCTCGTCCCTCGTGGGGGTGCTCACACTGCATCTCGAATCCTGGATCCCTCTAAGCCCAGCCCCAGCGTCCTCGTGAGGTCAGGAAGGGGAGCCAGCAGGGATGGAGCGGTGCTCCCCCGAGCGCCGTGCCTGGGATGGAAAAGGTTGGCTTGACCCCCCATCTGCAGGCCCATCACTTTGAGGGCAGCATTCCAGGACTGAGCGCCCTGCCCCGGCCGCGGAAGCCGAGGCTTCTCTACCACTCCAGTGTGTCCCCGGCGGGTCCCCGCCTTGCGCCTCTTTCACGGGGCACTCCATAGACCGAGGGATGTAATTTGGAAAGGCATCTATTTTTGTGAAGAGGCTATAAAACTAGCATTTAAGTATCCCCCTCCCTTGTCGCTGCCTTCCCCTGCCCTTCAGAATGGGGGGGTTGGGGGAGGTGCCCATTTTCTTGCATCACTGTGAGGGAGCTCCAGGCCCCGTCCCTGGAGAAGGCGTTGCTGTGCAGAAGTCACAGGCCATATGGGCGGCTCTGGTACAAGCCTGCCCTTAAAAATAATAACAGTAATAATAATAATAATAGTAGCTCCATTTGCATAGAACTACCACATTCCCGCCAGCCTCCTGCCCCTGCTCCTGGCTTTTCGTTTTGGCCACAACCACCAGCCTTTTCGAGGGTCGGTGGGCTGTGGGGCCTTCTACCTGCTTCTGGAGGTCAGACGCTGCCCCGGGAAGCCCCCCCACTGGGGAGAGCACAGCCGAGCGCTGCCCGGAGGCCGGGCTGCACCAAGTCTGCCCGGAGGAGCCCTGGGGCCCCGAAAGTCACACTCTCCACCCCAACCACCCTTGGGGTCACAGCCTCTACTTGGGGCTCCAGTTGAGTTTTCTCCTCCCAAACCCCAATAATAAATGGATCCATGATGACAAGAGAAGAGAAAAAAATATATTATTTTTGTTAGGACAGACCATCGTAGGTTTTTAGCAATGTGTGTCTGTGTGTCCTCACGCCTTTTCCTATTCTGCCTGTTTTCATTTTCCTTTTTTTTAAATATTATGTACTATATTTTTAGTCTCAAACACACTATATATTATATATATTTAATTTTTTTATATATATAAATATAAATGTTTTAAAAAGCACCATGTTTTGTGTTATTTAAGGCATGAGCAGCTCTCGTTACTTAAAAGCTTGCCTGATTTGGGGTGAAATGGTCAAATTTGGGGAAAAGAGAGATTTTTGGGTTATTAGAGAGAGGATCTATTTGTGTCCCCCAGGCGGTTACTTATATCTGTGGCTGTCTCAGGGCCCTGCGGCCAGGGAAGCCAGCAGCTGGGGGGGGGGCAAACAGCGGGAGGTCACCACACCCTAAAGTTTGGTGCCAAATCCGATTATGGGGCAGGAAAGGGGGCGACTGACCCCGGGGTCCGGATCCCGAAGGAACTGGGAGAGGGTGGGAGCCAGATGGGTTGCATTTATTAAGATGCAGAGGTTTGGGTCCGCAGCGAAGTTCCCAAACCTGTGGCCTTCTGGTTCCGAGTGAGGAGGTGTGAGCAGGTGCTGTGGAGGCCCGCACGGGCCATCCCGCTGAGAAATTTGAAATCCTGGAGTGTAGTGGCTTTCGCAAGGACTTCACTTCGGTCATTTGACAGGAGCGTTTGAGGATCACTGGGGGAAAAACGGCTGTTTTCAGATCATGTTTTTTGAAAGCTATAAATCATCAGAGAGATAAAAGGCTTTATTGTTTGCATCATCCACGTAACAGCCACGCAAACCAAAGCTGGTCCACGGTAGCCGTTCTGTGTGCAAGGGACACAGGACACAATCGGAGGCAGAAGTAGGGATGGGAGAGCTGAAAAATACTTTAGAGGTAATGTAACCCATTTCCAAGAAGGTTGGAGGTCACAGTCAGAGGCCCCGCTGACGGGCTGGTGCAGTGGGAGCCGTGGGGAGACGCCGTGTCCAGGACCAGGAGCCTGTCGGTGGCCTGAGGCTAGTCCCATGTGGGCGGGAATGAGAGGCTCAGGTGCAGGTGGACCTGGGGGCTGCAGCCAGGTGAGCTGAACCGGGGCAGGTAAAACCTGGCACGATAGTTGGGGGCCAGAAACAAACAGTATAGAGTAAAGAAAAAAAAAACAGAGGAGAAAGAAGCAGGTGTGCAAACATGGAGACCCTGGTGAGTCCGTTAGGCCAAGCCGTGTGCGGTGGGTCCGCGTGGGAGGCACCTGCTTCCTCTGTGCACCCCCAAAGCCCAGCACGGGCCAGCAGGCTCTTGGGGACAAGCCTGTGAGCTGTAGAGGGCACCACTCTGCTCCTGACACAAGGGCACCACAGGAGCTTGTCCCGTGTTTTAGGCCTCTGCCTGTGACGGGGGCTCCAGCCACTCCCTTCAGTCACCCCCAGCTTGAGGACCAGTGGTAATTGCCAAGCCTGGCAGAGTTTGAAAAGCCACTTCCTCCTTGTGAAGTCCTCTGGCCCGAGGCACAAACAGCCTCCTGTCTGCCCTTCCTCACCAAAGCCTGAAGTTTGGGTCCCCACTGATCTACATCCAGACCATCTTCCCAGAGGACGGGCTCATTCAACTCTCCCCGTCACTCCCCCAGCGTTTTTGCCGTTAGATGGAGTGCTGCCCTGGGGGCATGCCCCACTGCTCCCCCCAGCCTCTGTGCTGAGGCCTCAGGTCTCCTTCTCTGCCTGGCATGCACCGGTCCTTTTGCCTCCTCATTTCCAGATTGTACTCATCTTTAGGGCCCAGCTCAAACGCCCTCTCCTCTGGGAAGCCCTGCCTGACTCATGATTGATTCACTTTCACTCCCTCCCGGGAAGTCCTGGGGCAGGTGAGCTGCATGGGGCTGATCTCATTTCCAGCTGTCTGCTCCGAGGGCAGGGTATTATAGGCAGGTTAGGCAGGTTATGACACATTAACACTGTCCTCTTAAAAGAAGGGCACTTGAACACAGAGATCATGTATCATGTATTTTAGTATCCTAACCACCCGACAGAGTGCCTGGCATACAGTGGCTCTGTGTGTGCTGGA